CCTTGTCTCACACCTTTTCTGTAGCTATAGCCACTACTTGTATCTCCGCCGATGCGAATCCTCATCTTAGTGTTACCGTAGATATTCTGGTACACTATACTTTTCTAGCTTACTAAATAGCAGCTCATGGCTAACACTATCGTAAACTTTTTTAAAGTCAATAAAACACATAAGTGTCTTGAGACCTCGAAACTTTCTTCTCTTGATAACCTCAAGTAAGGTTGCAATCTGGTTCATACATTCTTCACCGGCTCTATAACCAGCCTGGTATGGTGAAAGAATGTTCCTTTTTTCGACAAACTGAGTAAGTCTGTCATTGACTATTTTGAGGCATATCTTGCTGATTATGTGAATCAACGCTATATCTCTATAGTTGTTTAGATCCGACTCATCACCCTTTTTATGAGGGCAGACTATGCCGGCTGCACTCCAACTAACAGGTGGACTGGCACCCGATATTATCCTGTTAAACTCATCCACAAGAAACGTGGGACGCTCTTTTCTACCAAGCCTGGCCTCAGTAGTATCTTGTATAACTCAGTCGGAATTTCATCCGAACCAGGTGCCTTGTTGTTATTACAATTATTTGTGGCTCTCAGTAGTTTCTCCACTGTGATGTCATCAGGAGGTTCCTTTTCGATGATTTTGATATAGGTACTTGGAGCATCTATTTCCGATCCTGCCAGAGTAGTGTAAAATTCATTCGCCGTTCCAACTTCTTTTCTTGCTCATTGTGAGCTGTGCCTGCTACATCTTGCAGGCAAACATTGTCTAGTCTAACGGAAGTATTAAAGCAGCCTTTATGCCACTTCCAGAAATCACGGAGAGATTACTTTTGTAGAGGTTAACACCTCTAAAGACCCAGGGTTTAGCCCTTTTCCGTCGAAGCTTCGCTCTGGTTTCCTCAACCCTCTTTTCAATGACCCGTATCGTAATACGGTGACATCGTTCTAGTTTCTTAAACATTCTTGGTTGCATGTCTAAACGCTGTCTTTTTACTATATTATAAAAAGACAAGAATATTTTTATTTAATTTTTAATCCTTCTTTTTTTGAATTTGTAAAATTTTTTGTATTTTTTATTAAGAAAAATTAACAAAGTTATTAAGTTTATTTATGTAAGCACAGCAGAATATTTTTGTGCATTTTCCTTTAATTTTACCAAATAATTAAATCAAAAAATAGTGACAATTTCAAAATTTAATTATTGATAAAGTGTGCATTTTACACTTTTGAATAATACATACTAGCCCAAAGACATAACACAAATTGAAAAAAAGAGAATATATCTTGCTTATAATTCCGTTTAAAACAAAATAGCATTAGCTAGTTATCTGGCCATTTATCTCTAACTCTTTTTGTAAAAATTTAAAAATTTTTTTATTTTTCATTAAGAAAAAATAACATACATCTTAGAGTTATTACTCTATGAACGGTACAAAAGTTTGTGTGTATCTTCCTTTATTTATATATATTCAGTTATTCAAACTGTAAAATAGGGGCTATTTCAGATCTAAAATTTATAATGAAAGGTGCCACTCTATAGTTAAAAACAATACATATACATGCGTAAAAACATAAAAATTGAAATAAGGAAAAACACATTAGTGTTTATTGAATTTAAGTCCCGTTTTAAACAACTAGAGCAAGCTAGTCATGTAATCTTCTATATTGCCAAAATTCGCTGGAACTGTGTTATTTTTTAGATAAAATTCAATTAAAAAAAATGAATTAAATGATTCCATATTTATTTATTTTTTCTTTTATTTATAGTTTTAAAAGGGGTAGAGATGAAGCTCCTTTTAAATCCCAATAAAATAATTGATTTCCTAATAATTCACTGGTTATAAAGACTACAAGGAATTATGAATGATTGTTATGTGAAAGTACATAACAATAACAACTTCATGTATTGAAAGTCTTGTGGTCAATAAGATTACTTAATCTATTTCGAATATGAGCACTTTTTATACAAGTAATAATGAAGTTGACAAAAATGATTTTAACATGTTACATACTGAGACTATGCCGGATTGTAGTGTGAATGTTGATGAACATTTTTGTGGTGAATTATCAAGCATCTGTAAGCATTGTTCT